ATTCGGTGACTAGGTAAGAACTTAGTTCCCTATAGGAGAAAATTATTGCACTTAGGGCCTTATAGGAGAAAATTATTGCAGAAAATTCAATCCTAGTGCACCTAGGCTATACGTGCCCGGAAAATCCTAGTGAGAGTGCGGCAATTTGCAGTCATGAATTGAGGTTCGAAAGCAGGTGCAATAAATAATGTTATTCTCAGTCGCTCACTATAACAATCACTCTATATGACGTATATGTATCAAATAATCATATGTCATGTATATGCTATATAGAGTTACTACCATATTGAGTGACTACGAATAACATTACTCTAAGCAAAAAGGTTAACGAACCACTATAAACTAAACTCCTAAGTATATTCCTGGGAAGGGTCACAAATTTTCCCAAGTATAATAGTCATATTCTTGATTAATTATTTGTTTCATTTATGTCCCTAACATAGTGAAAGTGTGGCACTCATATTAATACTCGTGCTGAGCTATCAGGTGACAATTACATAATGTTGAGGACAAAACGAGGATGAATTGAATCAATGGGATAAATTTCTTTAACACTAAGTAATTTTAGACTACCTACATTTTTAAAATGAAAGTTGAAGCCATTGTTTGGATTGTATAGGAATAAAATAAGTATTTTTGAACAATTTAAAGTTTTAGTAACGTCTAGTCAGCATCACTTATTCATTTAGATCTATTTGGTATGGATTAAAATCAAATTTTTTTTGTATATTTTGATAAAAATTAACAAATTACGTGATTAACAAGTTATGAATCCTATGAAATATGTGGTTAAAACTAATTATTGAATTTGATTTGGATTATAATTTAGATTTAATTCTTACCTAACAGGAACTTAATATTCAATTAAACATTTTCCTTTACGTAGGGACGTGTGTCACAATTTTAGAAGGTTGATAGCATGGGTGCGACAAATGATAAATTGGAGACATGAGTACCATACCTAAGAAAGATAGGGAATCCCTCATGGAATTTACCTTGTATTTTTAATTCTTTGCTTATTTGGCCCCCAGAGTATAGTCCAGTGGTGCAAAGGACGGGACTTAGGTTATCTCACGCCTTGCTGGCAGTCGTAATGTGGGGATTCGATTTCTGAGACATGAAATTGGACTCTTTGTAGGCGCAGTGTATAAACAGCTCTTGTTCCCTGACCTGTTGGGGCACATCTCGCGATTTACCTCCTTCACAAAACTCTAGGGGCCAAGTGGTGGGAGCCCTCAAGATTGGAGTTCAACCTTTTTTTAATTCATTGCTTGTTTCATTTGCATAGAAAACTGGGAAAAAAAATTGTAGTTGAAAACAAGTAAATAAAAAATTATTCAACTACAACTTGGTTCTACTAAAAATTTAAATCAAAATCTAAATCAAAATCCAAAATTAATTTCAATCACATGTTTTGTGGGATCCACAATTTTTTATTTATACATTTCATGAAATTTCAACGAAACTAAAAAAAAAATCTGATTTTTATCTAAATCAAAAAGGGCCTCAATGTTTAATGACTCGACCGACTTCGGATGCCTTTAAATTAATCTCTAAAGAGGAAGGTAATATAGCATGATTGATTAGACGCTAATACAAATTATTTTTATGGACATTTAGATCGATCTGAAAGACACTATTATCTGCTACATATCCTACTGCAAATAGATTTTTGTGAAAAGTGAATGTGTCCAATATCTACTATTCTAGGCTCGACGGTAGCCTGCGACCATGTAATTTTTGGAAGAGTCGGCTCGGCAATTGAGCACAAGTGAAGCAAATGCAAGAGGTGTTGTTTCGGAGTACTGTTTTATCCATCGAACAATCTCAGTATACTTCCTTTTGCAGATTATCGGAACTGTATTTGAGCAGAGGAAGAAGAATAAAATAATAAATAACCATGGACGTAATCTAACTCAAGCTCACTAACTTCAAAATATGTCCTTAAAACAATTTTTTTCCCCTATAATACTTAAAGACGATCAACAGTCGTCTTTAAAGATAGAACGAATATGATTTTATATGAAAGCAGCACAACGATTAATAAGATTCTTAACTAATTCAATTTAGTGCTTCGTACTTCAGAAATAGTATCATAATAAGATAGAGAAGTAATATTCAAAGCATGGAATTTTGCAATGGAAATTGTATAATTTTTCTGGTAGAAAAGCATGCAATTTATAGACCTGTTTGTGATAATTCTAACACTATACAAGTTTTTCTGAACAGTGACGATTGTTGAAACAACCTTTTAAAATAAATAGAGATGTCTATTTTGATTGAAATAAACCTCGCTATACATGGTAAATCAAAGAAACGTAGATCGACCCTTGTTTCTAAAGATATTTGCTTATATAAGTAACGACTAACGTCACCTGTTCAATTGTGACGTTACTAATTAAAAGTTAAGTTGTCGGTCAAAATTAACTAAACAAATTAATCACATAAATCTTATGCCCTATGGTCCTTCTAGCAACTAACACTAATATGAAAACAGGAATTTCATGATAGAAAGTATGCTTTTTTAACTTTTCAGCTATAGAACTTTTTGACTTAAGAGAAATAAATCGAACCCAGCTTCCTTCAATTATAATTAAAATGTTAACATTAGACATTTGGTCCCTCCTATAAGAAAAGGTGGGGGCATGCATGGGTGTAATCGAGTAGCAATCGAGTGGTTTCCCATGTGAAATTAAGCCCAACTTCAATCCTTTAGAATTCACTTCTGTCACCTCCTGCTTTTCTGTTACCAGAAAGATTCCTACTTTTTATTGGTATTACTAGCTAATTTCTCTAATATTTGGGACGTGATAACGATGTTGATTGGATCAAATCGAACAAAGTTGTTGAAGATAAGCACGTGACGACATCACAGAAGGTCAAGTCCTACATGATCTGTTTCACGAGAGGACGGAGTCATTGACGAGCTTGGCTTGTTACTGGTCGGGCCATCTTCGATCGACATCATTAATATACAGTAAGAAATAAATTTTTTAACGTGAAATAGGTATTTTTAAACTAGAAATGATTAAAGAAGATACATATTTACCGAATCAATTGTGTACAATATAAGTGTGCATTAGTCAAAGTTGTCTCTTATGTGCTAATTTTATAATACAGAGTTGAGGGACAGCCATAATTTGTTTAATCCTAGAAAGGTTGTAGATGAGAATAGGATGCTCTAAAGGACATTATCATCAAAAAACATGTTCTGCAAATCTATTATTGCTTTTTTTTTTATTCATTTATACTTCGGCTGAGCAAGTTAAAAAAGCTATTTACAATAACTTAATGCTTTTACAAGTTTGCTAAATATACAACATTCGATGGATTATAATGTAATATGACTGCTAAAAAAATTTCATGTATCATTCCCTTTTTTTTTTTTTTTTTGCCTCCTTATTTCATTCTACTTAACATACTAAACATATCATACCAAAAAAAATTTAAGAACATTGCCTATCACGCATGATTTCATCTCCAACAAAAATGATAAGTGGTTGGCAATCGTACCCTCTTAGTATCCCCATGATCTCCCTTAGCACAATCACTGAAAGGATGTGAAGAATCATCACTCGAGGCCTCAGACTAGAGAATGGATTTTCTCAATTATTTTTGGTTGAATTAATTGGAGAGCTTGCTAGCGCCATGAATAACTCATGCTCTAGAATAAATTTCCCTCTATTAAATTTTCTTTTAGAGGTTTCTTAAAGTCAAAATGAAAAGCATGACCTATGACTTGTTCTTTGAAAAGTTTGGAATGTGAGTCGATCCTGACTTTATAAAAAACGAACGAAATCAGTTCACTTTGAAATCTCTATCTACACTAGACTCGTTGATGCAAAACTTCTACTTTTTTCCCTTACCATTTCCTCTCCACTATGTTGCAAGAAAATTGCACAGTTGTGCTATTGGTACAACTTATTTTACAGCATTGTTGACAGTCTTCTCACATAGGAGAGATGGGCTATGATTTAAATAATCGTTGTTATGTGAGAGAGCTGTCAAATAAAATATACAGCATGTGATGTACACTTATCATTTTCCAAAATTGTATACATGCGTATGTGTGATGGCTAACTCACCATCGAAATGTATTTAATCATTTTGTATCGACACATGGTACAAAATTAATGAAGATGTGGCATTTTCCCACACAATTTACTTGTGTATTGTTGAGAAGGACAAAATAGAGTTGTTAGAAGGATAAAAAGTTCTCCTGCAGACAACATTTTAGTTAGTATGTCACTCTCCCTATACCTCTCCAACCCCCAACCTCACCCCCGCCTTCGATTTTTCTGATCCCTTTATTGGAAAATTTTCAAATGAAGGCATTCAACTTTTAAATTTATTTTATATTCGTCATTTAACTTCAATTATTATCAACTAACTCATAGTTCATAATTGATATAACAATTGATTTTAACCACATATTTCATGAGATTCACAATTTTTCAATTACACGTTACATCAACTTATATTAAAATCTAATAAAAATCTAATTTTAATCTGCATCAAATATGAACATAATTTATTTCAGTTTAATCATTTTGACGGTAATTGTGACCAAAACTAATGACTAGTCCTATGTGACTAATGATACATTATTTACCTCTTGATTAACACTAAACTTATATTTGATAGAGATTAAAAGTTGATAAAAATTTAAGTCAAAATCAGCAATTAGTTTTGACCACACATTTCATGAAATTCACAACATTTTAACTACACATCATCAATTATTATCGAAATTTACTAAAAAAAAAATAGGCGTTAGAATCACACATTCTTTCAATAATTAGGACTAGTTAATTTTGGTCACGATTATAGACATAATGGTCAAAATAAAATAAAATTGTATGTTACATGGTCGTAACAAAAAGAATTAAAGTCAAGTGACTGCTAGAAAATATACCCATAAGTGAGTAACCTTCAATAAATATTTTTCTCCCTTTATTCACGCCGCATTCACTTCAACACTCACACACATCACTCTTGATTCTAAAACAAAGAATCCATCATCATCTTCTTTTTCTTCCTTCCTCTTCTTCTTCTTCTTCTTCTTCTTCTTCATCATCATCATCTTCCATTTTTCAATTCTTCTTTGTCTCTCAGTAGAAAAATGTCTGAGTTTTGTTTTTCAAGCACATTCAAGACCCATTTTTATAGTCTTCTCATCTCTGACTTGATGATCTCATTTGGTTCCTTCATATTCTCTCATCCTCTCTACTTCTCATACTTCATTTTCTTCTCTCCATACCTTCTGAAACTCATTTCTTTTCTATCTCCACTTTTCATCACAACTTTTCTTCTTTCTCTCTCTCTCCTCACTCTCATTCCCAGTTTTTATAAAAATTTTGCTGCCGAACCTTCTACAAATGATGATGAACATGAAGAATTTCACTGCATGGAAGATCTTGAATTGTATAAAATCGTGTTTGGGGAGTCCGAAATCGACGGGAAAGAAATCCCAGTTGAAGTCTTGGAGGAAAAATCAGAAGTGAGTTCTAGCCATGAAGATTCCAGCAGCATCAGCAAATCTGGGGCTTTCACTGGTAATTTGGAAGAAAATTCAGTTCTTATGGAAAAATTGGAGGAGAAAAGATTAGAGGATTTTCTAAAAGTACTAGATGAGTTTGAAACCATGACCAGCAATGTCGAAGTTAAGAAAGTTGAGCCGACATGGGGTACGAAAGCCGATGAACTCGTCGAAAAGGAGAAAGAAAAGTCTTTGACAAGAAATGGATCCAAGACAATGGATAATGTTACTGATGACGAAAAAGAGTACAACTCCAAGATCAAGGCATGTGACCTTGATATCGACTATACTGATAATGGTGGAGAGTACACTTCGAAAGTCAAAAGTTTCGAGAGTCAAAATCTCGGGACTTATGGGTCAATGAGGAAGGAGAAGGAGTGGAAGAGGACATTGGCATGCAAGTTATTCGAAGAGAGACGCAATGTAGATGGAGGTGAAGGAATGGACTCTTTGTGGGAGACTTATGAGATGGATTCAGACAAATCAAAGCCAAAAAACAACACGAAGAAGAAGACCAATGACAAGATCAAGAACCAGAACCAGAACAAAAACAAGAACAAGAAGAACGAAATCCATTTGCATGAACAAGACGAGAATGATATTGATGATGGGCAATTGTGTTGCTTACAAGCCCTCAAATTCTCAGCAGGGAAGATGAATTTGGGAATCGGAAGGCCAAATGTTGTTAGGAATATATCAAAAGCCATTAAAGGAATTGGATGGTTGCACAATGTGAGTAGGCAAGGGAAGAAGGTGCATCATAATGGAGGAGATAAATACTAATTTTCTATTTGATCAAGTACGCAAATTAAACTCTGTATTTTTTGTTCTAAAAAGAAGTCACTTCAACTAGAATTTCTGTATTAATTGTTTTAAAGAAGTTGCTTTAACAAGTATATATGTTCGTTTGTTGTTTCTTGTTATGCCTTAGCCAAGACCCAAGTGCTGATGCCCTTTTTCCTATTAGCTGAGCCTTTGTTGTTTTTGCATCTTTCGGCCTTCTAAAAATCAGTCTTTTTTTTTTTTTTTTTTAATAGATTTTGACAAAAGTTAATGAAATATTCAATTGAAAAGTTGATGAAAGTCGTGGATCCTATTAAAAATCTATGATTAAAATTTATTGTTGACTTTGATTTAAATTTTTGTTCACTTTTTTAGCTAAATCATACGTGTACTAAGTTGATTTGTGACCAAAATCAATATCAAATGAGGCCTTGGTGAAGACTTTTCGACGTTCAAGTCAGAATAATTGTGACAAATTCAAAATCTCTCCTATATAAGTCTTTTCTTTCCATTGACGTGAGTTGATAAGTCGTGCAAATTGTCCATTGATCACATCTAATTACTATGTCTTCTCAAGATTTGTCCTTTCAATCCACCTAATTAAATATTTGGCTCACTCTCTTTCAATATCGAGTCTAGATTTGGTATCAATTTTCTGTGTCAGATTTGGTGCCAATTCTTTCTTGATATAGCGTCGATTTCTTCAGATCCGTCCTTGATTTGGTACCCATTTCTGGACAGGAAATTAGGGATTTTCCAGCCTCCCGCCGGTGTAAGTCTATTATTAATCTTGAATAATTGATTTGGACTTTATATCGAGTTTGAACCGTGCATACTTTGATTTGGTAAAATCATCACAGAGTTAATAACTCAAATTGAACTTTGCCAAAAGTTTTTACATGGTTTCTGAACTTTAAAAATCACTTATATTATCACTGAATTTTACAAAAGGTTTTCACGGGATCACTAAATTTTGTAAAATGTTTCCATAAGGTCACTGGACTTTAAAAATTATCTTACTCATCATTGAATATTGCAAAAAGTTTCCCAGGAGAACTCAATGACCACTGGGAACCTTTTTGCAAAGTTCAACAATCCCATAGAAATCTTTTGAAAAATTCAGAATTGAGTAATTTTTAAAGTTCACTAACCCTGTATAAACATTTTGTAAAATTCAGTGACCAATTGGATAAACCCTAAAATGACACCTCGAAACTAAATAAATTATTTTTGGCTTCTAATCTTTCTGCCAAACCATAATATCCAAAGATAATTTGCCCTTTTTACATTTCATTTACTTGGATCCAAATTTAAATAAAAGTTTGATTTGTAATAATTGAGTTGAGAAATCTTGGAAATATTAAGGGAGAGTGCATTTTGGCTACACTGTGCAAATTCCTGCCTTGGCCTTGAACTCCCGGATGATCATTCTCATCTCTCTCAACCCATAAGGCAAAAGAGAAAAGAGAAATTCGCCCCTCGGGACATATTCTAGTAGTGCAAAAGACAGAAATAAGGTAATCTCAATTTTGCTGGCAGCCGTTAAAATAGACGTAAAGTTAATTTTATAATTATTTTATTAATTGTGTGATTCTTGTACAATGTACAAGGTACCTTCTTATTTTTTTTTCAATCTATAGTCTTAATGAAATTATTACTATAATATAACTACATCTGAACTAAATCGACACACGCTAAACAATCAATTGCACCAATTTTTACCGGAATTTTTTTACTTTACATGATTTTAAAAATTATTATTTATTTTTTACTTCAAGATTGTTTAAATCGTTCATTATAGACTATAATGAACTTTCACCTTTAGAAGATGTTTTAGGACAAACGTCAATAACAATACTATCATTCTATTTCTAGCAATGATTATTATTATAAATTTCAATTAATAAATAATGTTTGGTTCGGTGTAATTGTCAAACTTAATCATTATTCAAAATTATATTTGTGTCATGTGAAAAAACCTTAATAACGGTTTTTGTGATCATAAATGTTATCTAACATTGAATCTACATCAATATGTCAAATATTTAATATATACAAAGGATTGAAAAAAATTAACACTCCAGAAAAAGCAAAGGTAGAGTTACAATTTTTCAATCATACATTTCATTAATTTTTATAAAAAAAATTTACTAAAATTCTAATTTTTATTTACACCAAACACGGACGTAGGATTGTCGACAATATAAATGAATAATACTTATAAATTTCTGGATATTTATATGTATAAGAAGTGATTTGAGTGTTTGTAAATCATTTCTTAGTAATCTTCTCTATTTAATGAATGGAGTCTACTTTAAAATCATTTATCCTGCACCCGCCTCCTGAGTATGTGCTTCAACAGAAATCACACAACGATAGATTAAAAATCTCTGGCTATTCACGGACAACTTGCTTTCGGAAGAAATTGAAGAATTTCTTGGGAATCAAAAGAGAGATTTCAAGATCTATTCGCTCTATCAATAATCGAGCAGGAATTGGTGCCAAACGTAGGTTTAGAGATTTTTTACCTTGCAATTAATCAATAAGTTAAAAACACATTAATCCGAGACTAAAAAGAACTAACTTCATTAATTATCAATCACACTGATCTCTCCTGCCCATGTTAGTGGGGTCCATTCGCAATTAAACACGTCATCAACCGCGTTTGCTTTACTCGGCAGTCGGCAGTTGCAAGCCAAGCAACTTCAATTGTACCTTATTACGCACTATGCCCCAGCGTACAACACAATTATGAAAACAGTTGCAACAAAATCAGCAATTCCTATTGCAGTGAATAACTCTCCGCTATTCCTTTTTCGCTGATTCTGTTTCCCACTCGGAACACACACATTCAGACTGTAAAGAGAAGACATGGCTGTAATTACAGGTCGGAGCCACAGCATTCCGCCTTCAGATCGGGTTACCAGGCGTTCCGTTCGGGGCTCCATACTCTTTGTTGGTTCTCTTACGATCTCCGTTTTACTTTTCCTTGCCATCTCATTTCTTTTTACTTCCTCTTCCGATCCTGCCGACATCAAATCTGTAAGTATTATTATCACTATTTTCCGAACATTATTAGTATTTTTTTTTCATTTTTAATATCTTATACCTTTTATGTATCTACTCTTTGTGATCTTTGAAGAGTGTGAATAATGCACGTGATGTGTAAGTCTATTTTTTTTTTTTTTTTTGGGTATTTTTGTACCCGTGAATGTGTAGATGCGGTTATAGTTGCTCTGATTAGATTTATTTATCCGTTACTTTTGTTTTTATGATCTTAATTTGTCTTCGAATTAAATGATTTTGTTATTTTCTTTTCGGTTTAATTACTTTCATGTTCTAATATCTTTGTTAATGTTAATATCAGCAAATGACAAAAATGTATCTATGATTTTCATTTTTCTTAATTTTAGGGGTTTGCTGTTGATTCATATGGATTTAGTTCGGAATCAGTCAGAAGATTAGTTCTGGCACTGAAATCGGATCCATTAAAGCCTCGGATCGATCAGATCCGAAAACAAGCAGGAGATCATAGAAGTTTAGCTTTAGCTTATGCTTCCTATGCGCGGAAGCTCAAGCTTGAAAATTCGAAGCTTGTTAGGAATTTTGCAGAACTCTCTCGTAATTACACCAATCTGCTCTCAAAACCTTCTTATCAGGCATTATTTGATGCAGAGACAAATTCAATTGACGAGTCAGTGCTAAGACAGTTTGAGAAAGATGTGAAAGCACAAATTAAATTCACACGACAAGTGATTTCCGAGGCGAAAGAATCATTTGATAATCAGCTGAAAATTCATAAGCTGAAAGATAATATCTTTGCATTAAATGAACAGCTGACGAAAGCGAAAAAACAGGGTGCTTTCTCAAGCTTGATTGCTGCCAAATCGATCCCCAAAAGCTTGCATTGCTTGACTTTAAGGTTGATGGAAGAAAGAATTGCACATCCCGACAAGTATACAGACGAAGGAAAGCCCCCCAAGATAGAGTTGGAAGACCCTAAGCTTTATCATTATGCAATTTTCTCGGATAATGTTATTGCTGCTTCTGTCGTGGTGAACTCAGCTGTGAAAAACACAAAAGAGCCATGGAAGCATGTGTTTCATGTCGTGACAGATAAAATGAATCTCGGGGCTATGCAAGTGATGTTCAAAATGAGGGATTATAATGGGGCTCACATTGAAGTGAAAGCTGTGGAGGATTACAAATTCTTGAATTCCTCTTATGTTCCAGTGCTTAAACAGCTTGAATCTTCTAACTTACAAAAGTTTTACTTTGAGAATAAGCTTGAGAATGCAACAAAGGATACAACAAATATGAAGTTTAGGAATCCAAAATATCTGTCAATTCTGAATCATCTCAGGTTCTATTTACCTGAAATGTATCCAAAGTTGCATAAGATTCTGTTCTTGGATGATGATATAGTGGTTCAAAGGGATTTGACTGGGCTTTGGGAGATAGATATGGATGGAAAGGTGAATGGGGCCGTGGAGACATGTTTTGGATCTTTTCATCGTTATGCACAGTACATGAATTTCACACATCCTCTGATCAAAGCCAAGTTTAGTCCCAAGGCATGCGCATGGGCTTATGGCATGAATTTCTTTGATTTGGATGCTTGGAGGAGGGAGAAGTGCACTGAAGAATACCATTACTGGCAGAATCTGGTGAGTTTGCATTCAAGTAGTACAAGTGATCATTTGTTTTTATTGTTTATTTTTTATTTTATTCCATAAGAGTTATAGAAGTGCATCTCTGCTCACCATAATGGCCCAAGCATTTTCAGCCCTCAAGTTTATCTAATCTTACCTTCTTACTTCTCATAGACGACAATGTGATAAACTTGAGGACCATGAGATTTTTTTTTAATTCATAATGAAAAATTATTTTAGGACACTGGTAGGCTAAATTTTTTTGTACTTGACTGACTGGGCGTAAAACTGTACACATCCAATGTCCTTTCTTTTCTTTTTTTTCCTTAACTGTTGCATATATTTAGCTACTTCGAATTTTTTTTCCATGTTATTTGTTGCAAGTATAATTTATGTGTGTCATCATTTGCAGAATGAGAATCGAACACTCTGGAAATTAGGGACATTGCCTCCAGGTCTTATTACATATTACTCGACAACCAAGCCACTGGACAAGTATTGGCATGTTTTGGGGCTTGGCTACAATCCAAGCATAAGCATGGATGAGATTAACAATGCTTCAGTCATACACTTCAATGGGAATATGAAGCCATGGCTTGACATTGCAATAACCCAATTCCGTCCACTTTGGACCAAGTTTGTCGACTACGAAAACGAGTATGTGCAGGCCTGCAATTTTGGTCTATGAATATGTGCTTGCAGGAAAAGCAAAGCTAGTCTTGCGGATAACTTTGAGGCTTGTCACTGCTCCTTACACGTAAATTTTCTCCTCAAATTAATGTGCTAGTATTTTTCACTTATATTCAGGCTTTAGCGTTCACCCGTTGGTTGATCATGTTATTTGCTCATATATGTTCAATAGTTATCAGTTGCTGAAAGCTAATTATATACAATGTGATTTATATTCAGAAAACTTAAGCTATTTGAAATTTGGTGTTGATGATCAACATAATTGACAATGCATATTGATGTGTGGTGTATAAAAATATCACAATCCTTTTAATTTACTTCTGAATTTTGCTAGAAACTTATTTGCTCTATTTTCTGCATGCCATGGTTGATATTGTCACATTTTTTTTATTTTTTTTCCTGTTAAGTTTAGATTGCATTTTAAATTCAATCAATGTCTTTGTATCTGATAGAAGTATTGAGGATTCTCAATTTTCAGTCACTAAGTATCAACAGACAGTCACTTAAAGACCTAGAACTAGAAAGACAATGCTTTAATGTAACGCTGGATGTGATGGTCGAATCTATCTCTTGCAGTTAGCTATATAACATATGTCCACTTTTGAATCTTTATTTGGACAGTCTTTGAGGGAAGCCTTGAATGAATCAAGATGGGCTAACTTTGAATTTTATCGGTAAAGAAATAGATTCAAGTTGGAATATAATTCCTGGCTATGATTAATTACGTATTAGCCCTAGGAAGTTTTAATTTCTACTGTATCTTCCTGTAAGGGTTTTCTATGAAGTGTCCTATTAACCCGTTAACTATTGAAATCATTTGGGCTGCATGATGGAAATGCATTGATTTTCGTAATGACTGAGATATTGTTTTGTTCTATACATAATAAAGAAAATATGTTGTTACCACGACAGTGCAGCGAAGAAGCCCATTTTACTGTATTCGATTTTCTATTTTCCTTTGGGAACAAATGCATGGGTCATCCGGGCTGAATACAAAACATTATCTACGCTTGCTTCTCTATGCCATTTGGGAAAAAATCTTTTTCAATGCTAATGCTTGCCTAGAGTGATTCACATGGTTTTTCCATTCAGAAGTATAATAACTATGGTCTATGTACATGTTTTGAATGGAAGACCCATCTGTGTTACGATCTTGGGATTTCACCCTCAAATATTGGCATCATGGTAGATGCAGAGAACGAGATTATGCATTGGACAATTAACACGGGTTGTCCTCTCATCACATGTATTTGCTACCAGAGCTATCATGCTCTTAAGTCTAAATTTATGCAAGTCTTAACAAGATTCATTCTTGTCCTGCAAGTTTGATTCTGAGAAATTCTTATTGCACTTGAGCCGTCATTTCTTTTTCATTTTGAAGGATTACATGTAATAGTTGTGGTTGTCTGTTTAGCACAAAATGTTAAACTAGAACCGATGTAGGAAGTCGGTCATAAAAATTAGTTACAAGGGCGTTCGCTACTAAAAAAGAAGCATGTGATTTGTGGTACTTTGTAATGCTATTTTGATTTAAAGTAATGCTGAAGGATTGGTGGATGTGTGCATGTGCAATTCGACCAGTGTTCAACTCATGTATTGCATTCCCTGCTTTCTCAGTAGAGGAGCTCTGAAACAAGTGAATAATTTTGCATCCCAATATGCTGTGCACTTGCAAATCCAAAATACAAACAACTCCATATCCACGTTCAACGTTATTTTGTTTCACTCGAACGGCTAATAAAATAGAATCGTGTTTTTTCAAAGCAAATAAAGTTGGAAACTTGAAAGAATTGAGTGTAATACCATAATTCTTCACAATATTTTAGTCGCCACGAGTCCACAACAGCCACTGTTGGCCATTGCACGCTCCTCAAAAGTTGCTTGTGGTGCACATGAATGCTAGTTTTATTAACTAGACAACACTAATCAAACAAAAAAAATAAAGTATTGTGATTGACAATTCTACCATATCGTAATAATGAAAATTGCGAAGAAACATCTTTACTTACACTAATCAAACAAAATAATAAAGTATTGTGGGAGTTCTACCATATCGTGTCCAAGAATGAATAGCAATAAAGTCCCCGCAAAAAATTATTCATTCATACAAAACCCAAAATGTAGGAAGAACTGCAACTCCAGGGCATCAAATGGCACCAGTAAAATAGCAAAGAAAACCTACTTATCGTCTACTAATCAATTATACCGACAAACAGGAATGTTGTGAGAGAACTTAGTGAGAAAACCCTATAAAAAATTCAGACGGTCCATCACCATGAAATTGTCAACCTGCTGGGTTAATAACCACTTAAAATTTACCAGAATTTAACAGGAAAAGCCTACAAAACCACTTGCCGACCATACTAGCGTTCTCAAGCGGTTGCAGAAACCCGAGGTGTCATAGTTTTTGCAGCTCCATTGACCATTCCACCAGCACGGCTCATGCGGCCAACATTCCCATTGATATTTTCAGCCCTCTGGTATCCATAACCTCGGTTTGATGATCCTCCCCGACTGCCACCTCGGTTTCCAAACTCATTCCTTGCATTAAAATCACCACGGCCGTAAACTCTTCCACCTCCATAGCTCCCACGACCTCTCACTCCCTCATTTCTGAATCCAGGACCCCTTCCAGATTGGAACCTCGCCCTAGTGTTCCCTGTAGCTTTTGAAATCAAATATTTGCGAAAACTATTTAATCTCACGGTAGTTAAAAAAACATAATATTAAAAGAAATACTGCTAGAACAAAGACATAAGCAAAAAGGTCATCTAGCTCTATCTTCACTAGTCTTGTAGAAGAAAATAAAGCATAACCGTCATCTAGGAGATACCCAACATATTCTTTTATTTTTTCCAATTTCAAAACAGGAACCAACATATTCAGATATTCTTTCCGATAGTTTCCACAGAACAGTCTAAAATAAGGAACATACAATCTTCTCCCTAGGCTCAGTATGCAAGTGCAAAGGATATTGTACTATAAACATTATGCTTGCAATCAAACTGCCATTTCAAAATACTCCACCATTTCATTTGTAAAATATCAATCACTGAAGCAATCTTTATATGGTACTCACAGATTTGGATTTTTGCCTATGGGCTATAAAAGCATAAATGTCATATATTAACTCCAAACTAGGAAGCGAAACATCAACAATAGACCACTTGCCTCGAGAATTAGTAGACTTCTTTTCCTCAACAATACCTTGGCGCCCACCAATGGCAACAGGAGAAGCCTGAAACATCAATGGATATAGGGTATAAAACTGAGACGACCAATATGTCAGACAAAATTACGAACAGATCATGGAGGTTAAGCTGACTTAAATGTATACAATGCTCATCCAGCATGCACAACTACACTCACCACAGCCAAACCCACCCCAACTCATTAAACTAGGGGTGAGCAAAAGAACAGGAATGAACAGAATAAAACCAAAACCGGCACGTTCTGCTTAAATTTTAAACAGCCTATTTTTTAATTAACTATGTTTATTTGTTAATCTGGTGAATAATTTTCATTAGACAATATTTTGTATAGCGATGGAATTTTCCTTTGCATTGAATGAGGCTTATTGTTTTAGGCCCTGTTTGAGCCTCATTAATTTGAAGAAATGTATTATGGAATAGTAATTGATGGAGAATGTGTGGTTAAAAAGGAAGGAAATTTTTTTTATTTGCGTGTAATATTATTTTAATAAAGAACGTGTGTTTTAAAAATGAGTACTATAAAATAATAATAATGGAAAAGAAATGAAATCTAAAGGATATGCCAAAAAGGGACTTAATTTTGAATGTGAGTGTTAACTTTTGGTGATAGAACTTCGTAATGGAATTTGCTTTAATAATTTAGAAATTTCGGTTTTGGAAATGAACCCAACCAAACCGAAACGGAACCATTTGGTTCGGTCCAATGATTCCAGCATAAGAAAACCATTGGTTTTTGGTTCGATTACAGTTCTCTTCGAAATCGAACTATTTGGAACCACACCCACCCCTACATTAAACAAACAGATGCAAAATGCTGGTTTACCCAATAATGCATTACTCTGGGTACATGCCGACAAAATTATCTTATAATCCATGAATCTAATTTCAGCCCTTCTTCCAAACAAAGAACAACAATCTAAGCCCATGTTTGGCTGCCATTTTATAATTTGTTTATAAACAGTCAAACCACTTTTATCCACATTTTTGTGGGATCCATGAGTACTACCCACTTATCCACCATTCATTTTTACCTATTTATAATTTAAACAACATTTGAACCACCAGAATTGCAGAGTAATTAAAACCATCTATGATCTACACACACACATAGTTTTTACCTATATCAAATAAATATATATAGTTTTTGGCCAAGAAACTAAGGCAACATGATGAAATAACAATAAAAAAATAATCATAACAGTGATCCTCATATGCAGTCAAGAATGTATGTTATATCATAAAACACCACATACCTCAATAGCATTTTGGGCAGCGCTGGCTTCCTCGAATTCCACGAAGCCAAAACAAAACACTTGTTGCTGCAAAAATAAAAAATAAAAAAATTAGGGAACATACTTTTAATGAAGATTTGAGAATAGTGCTCAAACAATAGGCTTCGGTAGACTTCCTCAAGTAAGGATTTGGTAGACTTGATACATACTCTGTTGCTTCTAACTTGAATGCCATCCTTCTTGATTGCCCCAAATTTCTTGAAAACTTCCTCAAGTAAGGACTCGGTAGCATTCATAGGTAGGCCCTTTATATATATTGAGTAACCATTAGCTGCTCAAAGTAGATAACATGAATGTTGATTTATTTCAGTATCGAGTACCACAAAGTCAGAACAATTTATTAATAGGCAATAAACAGGCAATAGAATTCTCAGGCATATATGTCTTCACCCTCTTGGTTATTCCCAATATCAGTTGCATCTGAACTAGAAACAGGTGCATCAGTTGATGGTGGTAAAGGTGGTAAAGGTGGGTTCGCTTGCTCCATGATCTTTGGGGGAGCTCTCCGAGGAGCAAGAGGTGGGAAGAAATTTGCAATGCTTTCCTTGAGATCCATCACCTAACATATTACAAAAGGCAATGTTGAACTACCACTGTATTGAAAACGACCAAAAGAAAAGATAAGACAGAAGTAAATGAATGTTCAAATGACAGTGCAAATCAGTAATACAACTGATTGGGTTGCTTTTTCGAGGAGCTAGATATGTTCACCTTTTTATTTTCTTTCCAATGTACCAAAAAAATATAATACAATTATGTATTGATCAAGGTGACAAAAAGTAACACAATAACAAGGTGAAAAGATAAATGAGAAGGAATATAGCCTGTAGACAGCTTGTAGACACTTACAATAGAAGCATAAGTCTTCTTTTGCACTTCTTCATTTTGAGCACTAGATTCAACCACCATCTGAGAATCTTCCTGTACTTCATCAACAACCTCAGCTACTGGAATTTCCTCTTCTGGAATTTCTTCTTCGACAGTTGGCACATCTACATTCTCATGTGGGTTGTGAACTTCTCCCCCGTTAGCTTCATCTGTGGATGGAGTACTTTGCTCAGAAACATGAATCTGAAGTGGAGCAGGACCTGCAAATGATGAAACAGTAAACAGTTGTTTTCATGTCCAAACAACAATGCAAAATACATAGAAACAAAGCATTAATTTTTTTTACTTGGCTCTGGTGTAATGGGTACCACAACATTGCCGACCAAATCAGGGTTCACATTGACATTCTCCATATATCGGAAAATATCATTCAGAACAAAGTAGCCCTTGTCCTGTGGTGCAAGGAAGAAAGTTTGAGAGAAATTCCGAACTGTATTATCCTTCCCAGACAGATATCCAGTCACCAGAACATGAACTCCCCCGTTGAAGGACTCTTGTGCATCCACCGACTTGATCTCTGCCCGTAAGTCCCCATAGTTCAGTGACAGAATCTTCTCATTGATTGCCTGTATAGTCATATCCAACCGCTAAGAAAGTTTGTGCACCTCAAATTTTCAATTTAAATCAGCTAAATTTCAACTAACTGCTTCTTAATTGAACAAGTCTTTTTAATGACAACTAGTAAATACACTTGTCAATAACAGATATCTCACAATCTAGGATCCTAACATATTGAGAATTGAATATAACAAAATTTACAAAGTTGATATCTGCCCTCTATGTTTTCTTGCACCAAACTTCTTAGCAACAATGGCCAGATATTTAAGCTTCCTATACCTAATCATTTTCAGCTTAATGCTACCAGTGTTTAACAATAATTAATATACTAAATGGCCAGATATTTAAGCTTCCTATACCTAATCATTTTCAGCTTAATGCTACCAGTGTTTAACAATAATTAATATACTAACTAACCATACAATTAAGCACAACACGAGACAGAAATATTACTTGCATGGTGGTGGTGATGCCCATGGAGCCATCATCTTCAGGACGGCCAAGCTTGCTGGTGTCCTGATAAAAACGATGGACAATCCCGGGGGAATGGTGGAGTACGTTATAATATTGGTGTACAAACGCATTTCCAACCTAATTCAAATTAAAAAAAAAAAAAAAAAAACTAAATAAAAACTCGGTTTTGAAATTATAAATTCATGAGAGGGAAAAAAAATGAACACTTACAAGTTGAGCAGAGACTGGTTGCTGAGCCGCCACTGTAGCTTCCATAGCGAACGCTGAAAAACTAAATCAAACCCTAACCACATAAAACAAGTTCTTTGAGTCATTCATACGAACACTAGCTCTACAGATCCTTTTATACGCATGAGTATTTCGCCACACACATATATTATATGTCGCGAGTGTCAGTGAGGATCGAGGGATTGCAGCGGTACCTGGACGGCGATTCAGATCGGAGGGAACAAGTAAGAGAGAAACTGGACTTCGTTTCTCTCTACTTTTTGGCTTTTAAAATTTTTAAAGAATTTTCCAGTAATTTCTGGGGGAATCGTCGAGCAGTTGATCTCCAAGAGCTGCTGCAGCAAAACAAGAGTGAGAAAGGGGAAGGTCTTTTGGGAATTTAAATATATATAGAGAAAGAGAGCACGGACCAATTAATGTTGTGTTTGATGGAAGAATAAAATAGAAATAAAATAAATTGACAATTTATGTTCTAGAACTTTCATTTACTCGAAGCCAAACATTTAGGGGAAATTAGTGCTTTTTGGTCCAAACCTTTCAGGTATTGGTATAAATAGTCCCAAATCTATAAATTCTTTTAAAATTTTCAAAGAAATTCCCACTAATTTCTGGTGGCATCGTCGAGCAATGGATCTCCAAGAGCTGCTGTAGCAAAACTATAGTGAGAAAGCGGAGGGTTTTCCAGGAATTTATATATAAAAAGTGAGCACGGACAAAAAAATGTTGTGTTTAATTGAAGAATAGAAATAAAATAAATGAACAATCTATGTTCTAGAACCTTTATTTACTCAAAGCCAAACATTTAAGGGAAATTAGTTCAGAGTTCTTTTCGGTCCAAACCTTTTAAGTATTGGTATAAATAATCCCAAATCTATAAATTCTAATTTTGTGCATAAAATCCACTTTCTTTTAAAGGACATATTGAATATGTAGTGCAGACTTTGACAAAACTAGCAATCTTGTACCTAACTAAGCTTTTTCATCTGATTTTTATTCCTAGTCTTTGAGAAATAACAAAGACCAATATATTTGACAAATGATCCAACTCTTAAAGTAAATCAACCTAAAGGCCTAAATTTAAGGAAACAAAATTAAGCCATGTATGATCTCATTATTTTCGAATATGTTTTTTTCTTTTTTTTTTTTCAATCACACATACAAACCTAAAATTTTTCTTTATTATTAATTACACATTTTTTACCAATCGACTATTCTAAAATACATTATTTGTTTAAAATAGGACTCAAACAGGCACTAAAGAACAAAGGACTTTTCAATTTTCATCACTCACCCCTTGTGCACCTCACCCCAATCCATCCTATCCTGTACCACTTAACCATAGTACCACAACTACTTCAATGGCACACAGTCATTGCTTCCAAAATTGACACCACCACCCTAATCAAGGGTATTTTTCTCCTCTTTTTGCCAACAATCGAGGGGAAGAAACCCTTAAATTCACAAAATAGTGGGAATTTGTCCTACTCTCTTGAGTTTGTAAATATATGAGAAATTTAACGAAGGGAGAGAAATCTCCATTGTGTTACTATATAATCGGGGGGCTTCTTTCCCTGATTTTGTAGTGAAGGCAAATAATTTTGTCTGGGATAAGATGTGAGAATTGTGATGACAATAGTCGTTGAGTGTGGTATAGTTTTCGGCAATGTATTTTATTTAGTTATTTTTTATTTAAAGACGAGAGTTGATGATAGGGGACTGATTTTTGTTATTTCTCAAAAATAAGGGCAGAAACCTGACAAAAATTAGATAGGGACAAGATTGCTACTTTTGTCAAAGTTGAGACTATATGTGCAATTTATCTTTAGAAGAAAATGCATTTCCTGTGCAAAATTAATAGTTCTTTCGGATGTAATGACAAATTGTGTCAAGTGAATGGTGTTCACGAAATATTTCTCTCGATTTAAATTACCGCAAGTGTACGGATCGTGACAAGTAATAAAGTGGACTTTAGAAGTCCGAGTATCGTCCCACAGAGAAAGAGTAGTTCAATTTTATTTATTTTAGCCTTAACCGAAACTAATTGACTTAAGATGAATTTTAGAATTGAAAGCCCTAATTTTGGGAGAAATCCCCAAATTGAAGAACCCTAATTTCAAATTAAACCCTAATTACTTAAATTCACTTAACGAATGACTCAATTACGAAATGTTATGAACATAAATGAAATGTATTGTCAATTTAGGAAAATCTATGTAAAACGAATACACTAGGATCACGAATCCCCAAATAATTATTAAATAAATCCTAATTTCACAATTTTGATAATTCAATGAGAATTTGACAAATCAATGCTCCTAAATTTATTCAATACTCTCTCTCGAGATGTATTGAACATATTCTCATAAATCACCAGCCTATATTTCTATGACGGATGCAATTATACAAGAACGCATGTATTTTTTTGTGAACAATTAAATATTTACATAGGGCATAGGGGTATATTTCTATCCTCTATCGGACCCTATTTAATCCAATTTTTTCAAATTCAGAACTAAACTACCAAATTCACACAAATTAAGTGCACATTAATTGTGAAAACAAATAAATCAATATAATTTATTCAAATAATCCCATCGAACTATGAATTCAAAGTCATGAAATAACAGGTTTAATAATAATTACATGGTTCATCAATCAACAAGTTACAGAAATCTAGCCTATCATGATAAAAATAACGAAATCTATCAAGTTTTGAATAAAATGCATCATCGGGTAATCAAAACTTGAAGAAATCTTGTAAATCTTCGCGTCAATCCTTGTTTTTATCTTAAAATCTTCTCCAAAATGAATGTTTTTGCCTCCCCATTCGTTCCCTTCGGCTTCTGGACATTTATTTGCTATTTAAACCCGTCGAAATTAGGTTACCAAAGGAGTTGCAATCATATAAGGAAACTGCAAAAATCGGGCATAGATTATACCTATGCGACCGCATAGGTATATGGATTTTGGCATTTTTAATCCCTGGAGGGTTACTCGCGACCGCATAATTTTTATACTATGCGACCGCATAGTAAAGTGAACTTCTAAATTGAGTCATTTTGATCCTCAAGTTTCATTCCTTTACTCTTTGACCTCCTCTCTTATTTCTAGTTGCTCCAATGTTCCATTATAACTTCCAATTGGTGCTTAGTTTGATCAATTGCTTGATGTGTTCATCGGATCAACTTTTAGATAATTGTAATTTGGTCCCTGAATTTTCATTTTGCTCCAATTTGGTCCTTTTTCGGCTATTTTCTCCTGAATTCCACTATTTCCATAGAATCACCTACATTGCATGAATTCGACAAAATTAAGTAACAATTAAATTATTTTACTTGTATTTAAGTCATGTTTGTGATGTAAATAAGTGTGCAAAAACACACTTATCAAACTCCCCAAACTTGAAGTATTGTTTATCCTCAAACAAGATAGTGATATAGTTCTGAACAAACATGGCTTAACACCTTGCCTTGGCTCAGGATTGGACTAAATAATTGATTTTATGAAAATTTATCAATGCAAAATGACATCAACATTTACCTGTTAAGTGCATACTTGACGTGTGTGTGTGGATTCATGCTAACATATCAAGTTCATGATGAGTTTGAGTCTCGACCCCAAGTGGTCAAATGTCTCCTTACTCGCTCGAGAGATACACAACCCCCCAAACTTATTCTTTTCACTCAATTATCCTGGGGTTTTGTTTAAAAATTATGAGTTTACCTAGCTATAGTTCTCACCCTCTCGTAGTTTGGATTAATCTCGCTATTACAAGTTCACATGTCAACAAGTGAAGACTCTCCTAATTTTGATTGCTTCGACACTCAAGATTAAACTAGGTTACTTGCCTCGCCTCAAAGGTATAGTTTCTTCCACCAAATGTCCAAGGGCTTTTCTTCTTGTTATTGTCTCCTTTTGTTTTTCTCACTTTTCTCTAGTTTTCTGATTTTTTTTTATCATCTTCTTATTTGCTTTCTATATAACCCATGTAATGAGTTTTAGGCCGGTGACTCCTAAACCAGTTGATTTTAGGGCACCAGATTTTAAACCCTTGCAGGCTTATTCACCCGAGTTATAAAGGCTCAATCAGATGACTTTTTATTAACCTCTTTACCTCTTGCTTTCTATATAACCCATGTATCGAACTTTGGGCCGATGACTCCCAGATCAATTGACCTTAGGGCACCAGATTTTGAAATATCCTTACAGGCTTACTTGCTCGAGTCATAAAGGCATGAAAAGAAGTGTCTTATTCTCACAAATTAAGTTTATGCCCTTATTTTTCTAGACATCTGGTATCCAAAACCAACCCTCAATTTAAGATTTTCACCTACTCTTCATCCCACTGGTCTAGGCAACACCTACTCTTTATCCCACTGGTCTAAGCAATCCACATAATAATTCATGCATGGAGCCTCACTTATCTCAATGTTATCCTATAATAGCTCAACTATCACCAAACTGTCTTAAGGTAGTTTACAGGTTAATTCAATAGAGGGTTATAATTATTTTCCTACTTTATGCTCAAAACTCCAATCACTTACCTAACATGTAAATCATGAATGGCGTGCATAAAGAATGTCAAGTATTACATCAACAAGTATTAGTTGGCCTAATTAACACCGACTCCAACGTTTTGAAATATACCAATCCAATAGTAACATCATAGCCGGCAAGGCGGTTAAGCTCACACAAGCATACATAAGCATAATCAATATTCACTCACAATCATGCATCATGCAACAATTAGTCAAATTAAATCTGGATTGTGGAAATGCAATTAAGTACATGCCGAATGTCTTTTTCAAATTATGCCACCATCCCCCAAACTTATACAAGACATTGTCCTCAATGCGAAAATTAAAGTTTAGATGGCAGAATTTAAAGAAAATGAGTACAAATGAAGCAAACGATACTCCCCTGATCAATACGGGGGCTAGATGGGAAGCTAGAACCTGCAGTACCATCAGCTAGAGGTGGAGGTAGGCGTGCCAAGATCTCTCTCATCAGTGCTGACTGCTGTGTCATTTCATCATGGATTCCCTCAACAGCTGTTTCCAAATGGCCCAGACACTTCCAAGTTTCATTTACCCTCATCTAGATGCCATCCACCCTACCCAAATACACACTGAGTCGACCGTTCATAGTTTTCATCTCCCTCCTAGCTGTTTGGGCATCCTGACGAGCAGCACGTGACATATCAGTGGAAATGC